CATCAAAGATACTGTTGTATGTCTGTGATGAATGCTTACACAGTTTTGGCTGCTGAATCCCATATTGTTACATTAACTTAGTATGTCTTTTTGGGTTGCTTACCGGAACTATAAACAACTGTCATACAAGTAGGAGGTTTAGCCAACGCTATGAAACCAGGTTTAAGTCAGCATTTTCTTCGGAAAATGCCTGTATCAAGCCAGGAATATGGCAGTTGTTTTTCATTTGTTCATTTTATTTATAGCGTTTGATTTTGTCAGATTTTATGAACTTCCCCTTTTTGAATTTTATTAGAGTTCGATATTGTTGTTATACTTTTATACCAGGCTTATTATTGGTTACGCCAAACGCACGTTTCAAACGATGCTAACAGTTACCCCAAAATTGTCATCGTTTCTTTGTTTTTACTTATTGAAAATGAGATACAATGTCTTCGTTTGACACCCAATCTGACAACAACTTTCCAATAAAAAGACTCCCCGGGCGCCTATTGTATTACCACATTCTGCATACTATTATAACTATAGAAACACAATATTGCTTAATGACAAACATAACCAAGAATATATGAACCAGATGCTGATTTTTTCTTTTTTTAATTGGTGAAACATTTTAAAGTAAGGTGCAAATATTTGATGTGGACTCTAGCTCTTATTCTGACTTCCCTGAATTATGAATATTTACATATGCACGGAACACTATAAGGAACTTCTAGTGCACAGTAGGTTCAAATTGAAAACAACACGTTTAATAATTTCATGCGTCCGAAGCGCTTTCCTGGATTTACCTTCATCAGGAACGCTCAAAGCCAAATATTTGAAATCCGAGGGATGTATAAGTACCGACACAGTTGAAGAGCTATATGACAAAAATACCTAAAACAAATAGCCAAATCCATCTAAAGTCAACTTTGCCTTAGGGAGTTGAAACCTTAGTTTCTGTATAATTTCAAGATTTATAAACGGACAATTTTAGAAAAGTTTGTTATATATCATGTCAGTACCGAAGTACTGACTACTGAGCTGATGGTACCCTCGGGGACTGATAGTCCACCAGCAGAGGTATCGACCCAGTGATAAAAAAAATTGAAAACAACACGTTTAATTATTTCATGCGTCCGAAGCGCTTTTCTGGATTTACCTTCATTAGGAACGCTCAAAGCCAAACATTTGAAATCCGAGGGATGTATAAGTACCGACACAGTTGAAGAGCTATATGACAAAAATACCTAAAACAAATAGCCAAATCCATCTAAGGTCAACTTTGCCTGAGGGAGTTGAAACCTTAGTTTCTTTATAATTTCAAGATTTATAAACGGACAATTTTAGAAAAGTTTGTTATAAATCATGTCAGTACCGAAGTACTGACTACTGAGCTGATGATACCCTCGGGGACTGATAGTCCACCGGCAGAGGTATCGACCCAGTGATGTAAAAAATTGAAAACAACACGTTTTATAATTTAATGCGTCCGAAGCGCTTTTCTTGATTTACCTTCATCAGGACTGCTCAAAGCCAAATATTTAAAATCCGAGGGATGTATAAGTACCGACACAGTTGAAGAGCTATATGACAAAAATACCTAAAACAAATAGCCAAATCCATCTAAGGTTAACTTTGCCTTAGGGAGATGAAACCTTAGTTTCTTTATAACTTCAAGATTTATAAACGGACAATTTTAGAAAAGTTTGTTATAAATCATGTCAGTACCGAAGTACTGACTACTGAGCTGATGATACCCTCGGGGACTGATATCTCACCAGCAGAGGTATCGAACCAGTAATGTAAAAAATTGAAAACAACACGTTTTATAATTAAATGCGTCCGAAGCGCTTTTCTTGATTTACCTTCATCAGGACCGCTCAAAGCCAAATATTTGAAATCCGAGGAATGTATAAGTACCGACACAGTTGAAGAGCTATATGACAAAAATACCTAAAACAAATAGCCAAATCCATCTAAGATCAACTTTGCCTTAGGGAGTTGAAACCTTAGTTTCTTTATAACTTCAAGATTTATAAACGGACAATTTTAGAAAAGTTTGTTATAAATCATGTCAGTACCGAAGTACTGACTACTGAGCTGATGATACCCTCGGGGACTGATAGTCCACCAGCAGAGGTATCGAACGAGTGATGTAAAAAATTGAAAACAACACGTTTAATAATTTCATGCGTCCGAAGCGCTTTTCTAGATATACCTTCATCAGGAACTCTCAAAGCCAAATATTTGAAATCCGAGGGATGTATAAGTACCGACACAGTTGAAGAGCTATATGACAAAAATACCTAAAACAAATAGCCAAATCCATCTAAGGTCAACTTTGCCTGAGGGAGTTGAAACCTTAGTTTCTTTATAATTTCAAGATTTATAAACGGACAATTTTAGAAAACTTTGTATAAATCATGTCAGTACCAAAGTACTAACTACTGAGCTGATGATACCCTCGGGGACTGATAGTCCACCAGCAGAGGTATCGACCCAGTGATGTAAAAAATTGAAAACAACACGTTTAATAATTTCATGCGTATGAAGCGCTTTTCTGGATTTACCTTCATTAGGAACGCTCAAGGCCAAACATTTGAAATCCGAGGGATGTATAAGTACCGACACAGTTGAAGAGCTATAAGTTCAACATATGACCTTATTTGATGTAAACAAACCCTTCCCTCTGACGTAATTAATCTTCATTATTTTTACTATTTATATGTATGCATTTTTTGTTGTGGTTTGACAGATAGCTGATTAATTGGTACACAGAAATAATTTGAATAGATAGAAACATGTGACGTAATAGGGTCTTTGTAACACAAGCTGTGATTGGCTTTTAAATCTTTTTCCTCTTGGCATTATAACACATAAAAGAAAGGAGATTGTGAGGTATTCAGAAAATACAGTTGTTCTAACGATCTAAACATGGTAAGAAAAGTCTTTCACTTATGATATCTAAGTTCAGGAAAGCTGCATAAACTATCATATCTTATGTTTAAAAATTTTAAATTACAATTATTTTCAGATGATTGGTAATATAAAAGTATAGTATAGAACTCTAGTATTTAACATTAGGTCTTTTATATCCGGAGACTTTATGTAGAAATATAGTCAAAATGCCGTAATTACAATTCTAAACTTTTCTTTTATCTAGATGAATATTTTTGTTGTTGGTTTTGCGCTACTAGGAGTAAACGAAGCTTACAAGTGTATGAATCCTCCAGAAATGAATTGGCCTGATAGGGTCAGAATATGTAATGGAGAATTTAAAAATAATCCTGGATGTAATGATGAATATACAAAGCCGAATAAATAGTATGTACATTCTTTAACCAGTTATGTTCTCGACATTCTGACAAGTATTATACATCTTTCTAAATTACAGTATTACAGTAGATCTATGTAGCAGCAGTCGCTTTCTTATTTTCATGACTTTGCGAGTATGAAACTTTTACATCAGTTTTTATGTGTTTTCTTTCTTGTTACTTGTAAAAAAGGAATTTGCTTTAGTTTTGTTTGATTTATCACATCGTCTGAATTAAAAAAAAGAAACCAAGAAGACAAATACAAAATTTAAAAACCGAGAAATAGCAGATAAGACATGCAAGTTTCTCATATATATATATATGTTTTCAATTTAGACTTGTATATATATATATATCTACAAGTCTAAATTGAAAACAACGTTCAAACCTATGATTGCGTTGGATAAAAACCGCAATTTTTATACGTGTGCATGCAAAACAAATTTCTTGTTAGAGGGGTCTAAATACAGCACAAACAACATTTTCCAAAAGACCAAAAGAGTGAAAAAGTATATTTTAACAAAACGCATTTGACTAACAGGTGGAACAACAAATGTTCTTAAATCCTACTGACTGCCATTGGCGATTGCCAAATAAACGGATCACAAGGTGTAATAAATGGATCTTCTTAACTATAAATTTAATACCAAACAGAAAACAATAAACTTGCGACAAAGATGGTATACCGCAAACAAAGGTGCTTAAACCTTGCTGACGGCCATTGGCGATTGCCAAATAAACAAATCACCGAAGTAATAAATGGATCTTCATTATAAATTTAATACTAAACAGAAAACAATAAACTTGCGGAAAAGATAATATACCGCAAACAAAAGGTGCAAAGGTTTTAGTACACCATATCCGGATTTCGACTTAAGTACGTCTGAACCAGTGACAATTCTACAACAGATTTATCCATCGGGTCACCAGCAGTGATGGTGATACATGGCTGTGTACATTCTATATATACAACTCGTCTAAACATCAGCCCAACAATGTTAGATCTGTAAATTTGCTCTCAGCTGGCATTGTATATTTGTTTCAAACGATGAACAATAGATAAAAACACTGATTGATAATGACAAACATATATTATAAGTGATTGTCAGTACTTTATTTAAACAGTAGAACATGGTACATTTATATGTAAATTTGAAATAAGCTGATGATAGAGTATATGTTTGTTTGATACATAATATACATACCCTACAAAATATTTTCAGTTAGAAATATAAACATGTGCATGATTCAGGCTTTAGTACTGTAGATGAGACTTATTTGATGCAGCAATTCACGGTTATAAACATACTTTTTAATGATTCCAGAAACATACTCTCACAAATGCATGACGTTATTGTTCTCAGGGAAGAGCTACTCTGAATTGGAAGTACTGCCATGGACATATTAACATATATAAACACTTTTGACTTATATATGGCAGCTACGTTGTTATTTACACAGTTAAAGATTTCTTTAAAATTACATAATTTATGTACACACCAGCCGCTATGATTGTACAGTACGCAAGTCCATCCAGTGGACAACTTTGTTATTAATTGATTGACACATATTCTAACGAGCATACGTTGCCCAGACAACAATCTAGGAATACAGATTTGTAATAATGTAATGAACTTTCAACTTCTGCGAAATACTGTCATAAGTAAAACGTATACATTTTTTCATTGTGTTTTTCAGTGATGATATAGAAAGCGCCCTTGTAGCAGACCCAAATCTCCTATCCTTCGTTGAAGATTCTTGTAAAATATACTCTCCGGAACTTCCCCTTGACCATGAGTAAGTTTATATTCATATTTATAAATAATTATTATGACATCCGTCATTATCGAGAGGATAATTATCGTTCTCAACGGGGTGGTGTAGTAGAAACTGGATGTATTTGTTGCTATCTGGATGTTCTAAAATCGACAAAGAGGATACCCAACAGTCTTGGTAACTGTCTGATATTTAGCAAATCATCAACGAAATAACATTTTATAAATTTCGTGCGTCCGAAGCGCTCACCTGGATTTACCTTCATCAGCAACGCTCAAACCCAAACTATTGAAAACCAAAACTGTATAAATAAGAAAAAACGTTAGGAGCTATATCACCAAAAAAGACATAAAACAAATGTCTTTTAATTACATTTGATAAATATAATTAAAGCTTTATTCTTGTTTAATGTGTCATTAGAACACAATATTAGCATTCATCCATAATGTCTTATTACAAATAAGTCATAAAATCTTTTCACATTGTGTTATTACAACAAGTTCCTAACATTCAACCAGATTATGTTATTACAAGAAAGTCATAACATTTAATCTCAGCGTGTTGTAATATAACAAATTCATAAATCTGGCTGTGAGTTTACCTTCCAGCAACATAATTCCTAAGAAAAATACAGCGTCTTCTTCTTTCCTTTAAATAAAATTTATATGAATTGTCCCCTTTTTTTAAAGACAATGTCCAATTGATGGCGGTGACCTTGGAAAAACGCTAGGCAGATGTGAGAAGGTTTGTCCCGGCAGTTATGTTAACATAACAGCTGTAAATGTGGAAATGTTTGACGAGGACATACACAAAATCAGACTGACCCAGTGTTATGTTGTACGTCCATGGGAACAGAAAGTTTTCTACATGAAATGCACGTAAGTAGTCATGTTTCACAAAGCTGTTTTTTTTTCTTATGTGCCTTATTCAAAATTTTCAATGATTGTGATTCTTGTTGAAGCAGTAGTAGTACATGTTGTAGTAGTAATGGTAATAGTATTACGAGTAGTAATAGTAGTGGTAATTGTAGTGGTAGTAGCAAACAGTTGTATATGTTCACATTCACATTTTCTAATACTTCATTCTACATTTTATAAAGCTTTATTTCATATCAATTTTTTAATTAATTTAGTGGTAAAGTAAGAGGTTTCAGCTTATCTAGTCCAATTCTTTTAGATGTCTGATCAAGTATTGAAGATTAAAGCTGGCTAATTTGACACATAACTATTTGAATTTATTTTTAATTCCAGAAACGATCAACCTTCTTTTAAAAGCAAATCATTCAAGTGTGTTCCAGACAACTTCATCAAACGTAGGGTTGCCGTATTCTGTCCAGAATTTAAAGAACACCAATGTCAAAAAGTGGACATCGAATTACCCACTAACTGTGCTGCAAGTCGATTTGAATGTGTCCAACCGAAGAAATCAAAGAATGAACTCGTAAACAGCTTTTTTGATTCATTGTTTTAGTAGGTTTTTTTTTCAAAAAACTATCCACACGGTGTGCTGTAGGTCAAATTTAATGTTATCATCAAAAGCAACAGGAGAAGAAGGAAAAGATAACATGCTTCACATTTTGAACCTCACTGATTCGGAAAGTTTTTAAATCCATGCAGACTGTGATATCTTGTTGTTGTTTGTAATATTGTTCATTTCATCATCAATTATGCCATGTTTTTGTAATAGTGACTAATGTATAAATAAAACAAACTTTAGTATATCTGTGTCTTGTAGTTTTTGTTTTTGGTTTTTTAGTGTAAACCAAGCAATAATTTGCATGAGTTAAAGAGAATATACTCCTAATGAACGTGCTATTTGTCATTAGTTTAGTTTATTTTCCATTGAAAAAACGATAGCATGCCTTACGCTACCAATTTGCGATGTCACGTGAACACACTTCCTATAACTGATAGCTCGTGAAGATACTGCACATTACTGACAGTACGTTAACACTGCTTTATACTAGTTCCAAATGAACACACTGCATATAACTGATAGCACGTGATCACACTACCTATAACTGATGGCACATGCATACACTGCCTTTAGCTGATGGCATGTTAATATACTGCCTATTACCGATGACACGTAAAGATATTGCCCATTACTGATAGCACATGAACAAACTGCCTACTACTGATGGCACGTGGCAAAAACTGTCTATAACTGATGGCACACTGACAAATACTGATTGCACGTGAACACACTGCCTTCTACTGATGGCACGTGGCAAAAACTGTCTATAACTGATGGCACACTGCCGATTACTGAAGACACTTAATCACACTGCCGAATACTGATGGCACGTGAATACACTGCCGAATACTGATGGCACATGAACAAACTTTTATATAACTGATGCCACGTGAACAAACTTTCTATAACTGATGGCACGTAAACAAACCTTCTATAGGTTGCATTTCTGTAAATATCAACAATGCAATTTCCCATAGGAACTACTTTCACGGCTAAAACTGTACCACTTTTAATATGAAGTATTGAAAAGAAATATATCCTAGAATGGAAAGTTTGTATGCACTACTATTTTTTTCAAAGGTCAAAATATAGGGCTGTGCGGCATATTTTCAACGTTTATATGCCACGAACTTCTAAGAGTTTAAACTTACATTAAATTTCTATATTACCCCAACCTTGACCTAAGGATTTCCACAGACTTCAACTTGATCACTATGAATATGTATATTTACTGGTAACATTCCCAAGTTATGTCTCTTTGAGATGAAACATAGAGATCATATCCGGGAACCAGTACGTAAACAAATTTAATTGTCTATGAATATTTTATATCTCCCCAAAAAAGGCGTGGTTTGAAAAACAGCTGTATTTACAAAGTGCAACCTATAATTGATGGCACGTGAACAAACTTTCTAAAACGGATGGCACTTGAAGATACTGCCTATTGTCTCAGAAACTTGAACACACTGCCTATTCCCAATATCACGTGAACACGCTTCATATTACAAATGGCATATGGATGGAAATGATCCTTCTCTCATCCGGGATTTTTGACCCAAGATAGATTTGGCTGTTATGTTAGGTCCTTTTTGGTCATTAAGCTCTTCAACTGTTTCGGTTCTTATAAATCCTTGGCTTTCAAATATTCAGCATTGAGAGTTCCTGTTAAGGTAACGCCCACAATGTAAGCGGAAAATAAAGGGTGGACAATTCAGACCTCCTAAATATTAAAGTGAAGGGTCTAGAAAAAAGTAAAATAACAAAAAAAACGAACTTCATGGAAAATTCAAAACGGAAAGTCCTTTATCATATGGCAAAATCAAAAGCTCAAACACATCAATCGCATGGAAAACAACTGTCATATTCCTGATTGACAATCTAATATACTGCAAACAAGGCTAAGGCGCCAATGCTGTTCCCTAAATACTGATTTAAAAGGAGAAACATGTAGTGAATGATATTTATTGCTCCTGTGGTTCTCCTGTTGAAGATGACATCATGAAAGCCAACTATATTACAACAAAAGAATGTCTCCAGTTAATGATCTTATAAACATGAACACACATATTGATATTGAAACGCTTTTGTTTGGCAAAAATGCATATAATTACGAAACTAACTCTAAATAAAGGCAACAGTAGTATACCCTGTTCGAAATTCATAAATCGATTGAGAAAAAAACAAATTCGGGTTACAAACTAAAACTGAGGGAAACACATCAAATATAAGAGGAGAACTACGACACAACAGAAACACAACATTAAAATGTAACACACACAGAAACGAACTATAATATAGCAATGGCCATTTTCCTGACTTGGTACAGGACATTTTAAGAAAAAATGGTGGGTTGAACCTGGTTTTAAAGCTAGCTAAACATCTCACTTGTATGACAGTCGCATCAAATTCCAATATATTGACAACGATGTGTGAACAAAAAAAACAAAAACAATAGGTAAAAATTTCACAAATAGGGGAACAACAGCAACATGAACCCCACCAAAAACTGGGGGTGATCTCAGGTGCTCCGGAAGGGTAAGCAGATCCTGCTCCACATGTGGCACTCGTCGTGTTGCTCATGTTATTACAAAGCCAGTAAATAGTCTAATTCGGTAGGTCACATTCGTGAAAAGGGAACGGGATTGTAGTTACAACATAAGGAACATATCCGATATCATCTGTGAAACGGATATTCCGTAACGGTCAACCAACTCGGCGTCCGTAAAATTTACGAAGTGATGATTTCAACTGCACCATTCGGAACTATTGGTTTAAAAATGAAAAGGTCACAATTGGGAAGCTGAAATCTTCTCTTTTGTCGTAAAGTTCTGTTTTCAACCGACCCTCATAGTCAATTTCTAGATATATGTCCTAATCAAATGGCAAAATCAAAATCTCAAACACATCAAACGAATGGATAACAACTGTTCTATTACTGACTTGGTACAGGCATTTTCTTGTGTAGAAAATGGTGGATTGAACCTGGTTTTGTGGCTAGCCAAACCTCCCGCTTTTATGGCAATGTTAAATATAACATTAAAATGACAACATTACATGACAGGACTACAATACAAATAAATGGGAGAACATATAGGACAGAGAAACATACGAATAATAGCTAACAAAATGTACCAGATTTAAAATTTAATACGCAAGACGCGCGTTTCGTCCACACAAGACTAACCAGTGACGCTCAGATAAAAAAAGTACGAAAGCCAAAAACAAGTACAAAGTTGAAGAGCATTTTTGAAAACGTTTGATGTTTAATTAAACAGTTAAAAAGGTTTTGACATTCCAGTTCAGCAGTTTTGTCCCCTTTTTTTTCTTTTCTGTGGTGTTTTGAATCTTTCATTGTTTTTTTTTCTGCCAAGCAAATGTGTGACTCCTTCTTTTGTTTTCTATAACTAAAGCTTTACTATTTATTTGTTTGCTGTCATCATATATGTGTATTGTATATGTAAGGAGAGGATTTAATATTAGTTGTAATAGCTTTTATGTACTCTTATTTCTTGTTTATTGCGATGCAATGTTATTAAATAAAGTTTACTTTAACCGATTTCGAATATTTAATAACGACGTATAATGATGACCTTAAATCACATCAGCAAAAGATAGGGGTCTTAAAATAAATAAACTTAACCTAAAGTTAGCTATAACGAAACTTTTCATTTGTTTAGATATTTGTTTCCAAAATGCTGTCTACCTTATGCTTTCATCAGTTGAATTCAAATACTTTGTATAAAACTCTCAAACCTTTAATGCCCCATGCAACGAAGTAAAATATTGGTGTCCCGTTCATCATAATGTTGTTGGCAACATGCTAGCGCCTTCATTTTTTGTCGGGTCATCTTCAAATTTGAATGAACGTTTTCAGACATCAAAATCGGGATAATCAGAACAATTTGAAATAGAGAACCTTTTTTCTGGAGGGGCTTGTAAAAATTCTAATTCATTCTTGTCGTCGGTTAGAGCCTTCATTTCCTTGGAAGTATATTTCTATTACAAAATTTGTTTTGTTGACGTCTTTGTCAGATTAAATTATATGTTTGAATGTTGTTAAAGTCAGTTGAGTTGTATGTCTGTAGTTCAGTTTTGGCTAATGGACCTCAATTATTGCCACATTAACCCATTGCGTCTGTTTGAGTTGCTCACCTAATTTCGCAATATAACGGACCTGTAAACAACTGTCATACAAGTGTCATACAATGCGGAGCTATACAACTAGGTTAAACCCACCAATTCAAAATGCTTTAACCAAGTCAGAAAGATGACAGTTGTTTTTCTATTCGTTTCGTTCGTTGCTATAATCGAGCGTTTGATTTTGTTAGGTTTTATTGACTTTCCCTTTCTTAAATTTATTCTGGAGTTTGCTATGTTTGTTTATATTTTTTATCTTATCAGACGCTCTCAAAATTTGGATTTAGTTTTCTATTCATCAAGACCACGGATGAGTCCGATAGTCAACGAAATCTAAAATGTGGTACTGGTAACAATATTCCATATTAATTTTGGTCGGCAGGATCTTAATTTTTTATCAGATTCTCTTTAAGTTAAAAGTCTACAGGAATATATGTCACCCTACATCTTTGTCATCTCTTCGTAGCATGCTGCAAGCAGTCGTGGGTTTGACCCCGTCTAGGTCATACCAAAGACTTGAAGTAGTATCAACCGATTCTCCGTATAGCATGCGTCATGTAGGAGTAAGAGCAAAGAATGGTCGACTCGCGGAATGAAATTTTTATGTAGGGTGACATATATTCCTGTAGACTTTTACCTTAAATTATCCAGTTCAGCATGAACAATGAAGTGTTCATATTCATATCTCATTAACGTGTTTCGCCCTGATTTGCATATTATATTTGCAACTTGACGTAAAATACCAATCCATCTTTATCCTTAAAAGAGGGACGAAAGATACCATAGGGACAGTCAAACTCATAGATCGAAAACAAACTGACAACGCCATGGCCAAAAATAAAAAGACAAACAGACAAATAATAGTACAGATGACACAACATAGAAAACTAAAGACTAAGCAACACGAACCCCACCAAAAACTGGGGGTGATCTCAGGTGCTCCGGAAGGGTAAGCAGATCCTGCTCCACATGTGGCACCCGTTGGTGTTGCTTATGTTATTACAAATCCGGTAAATAGTCTAATTCGGTAGGTCACATTCGTGAAAAGGGATGGGTATTGTAGTTACGACATAAGGAACATATCCGATATCATCTGTGAAACGGTTA